GGAGGGGGGAGAATAGGGGAACCTGTGGCTGATATGTAGAACTGAATGGTATTGTAAAATAAAATAAATAAAATTTAAAAAAAAATCTAATCACACACTAAAGGAGGTGCTTTTTAAACAGAAGGAGGATATACGGACCCCCAGAGACAGACTGCACAATGCCTCACTAACTTTAAATTATTTAAACTAATGACACAGAGACAACAGCTGCTGAAAGACGGGGGCTGGGGGGGGGGTGTGGAACTGCTGAACTGAGTCAGCCCGTGTATTATAAAGATGTTTTAACATCAAAATGAAAACCAGGGAAAGGGTTACAATGGGGTCAAACCTATGTTTTTACAGGAGACAAAAGGTTGTGGATCCAATCAAAATTGAGCAAGTCCAGCATGAGCAAGAGGAATTTCTCAGACACTTTGGCTGCTGAGATGAATGACATACCTCTGGGGGGGGGGGGTACAAAAACCTTTGCAGTGGATGGCTGAGCCTCCCACCTGGGCACAGCTTAAGACTTTGTGTGACAAAGAGAAGGCAGTAGATCCACAGGTTCAGAAACCTCAGGATGCTACAAACCTGTACCTTGCTCTGCTATCTGTGGTAACTAGACAGGTAACAGGGCCAACTGTACATATTGGGCCTATGTTCCTAATACTACCCAAGATTATCATAGTAAGTTTTATATTCTTCATGCATCTGGTTTTAGAAGACAGGAGATTAATGCTACTAGTTCCACAAAATCTACTGTCTGATGAGATGTAGGTTTCCAACAAGGAATCTGACTGGATACATGGGCAACCATGTAAAGGTGAGAAACCTCGGGTGCTAATTAGTATCTCCCATGCAGATGTCATTGACTGGAGCCCTTATGGCTCCCCTCAAGGAAAACATTCTCACTCATTATTAAGATGACACAAATATAGTTTAAATACAACTGCAGAAATTAGCTCTGTTAATGAACCTGTTCAATGGCATGGAGTTGGAATGTCAAGTCCTCTCCTACAATTTGGCAATTCAGTTCAGACTAACTTGAAGGAATTAGCAAGTACTTTCCATTCTCTTAAAGCGTGGGAAGGAGAGTTAAACATTAAGGATGAAACTTTGTCATTTAGACTAAATCAAAGCCATCCTTTTATAGAATGTATACCATTACCGTTTTAGCTACTGAAGGGGCCTGTACAATGGCACCCTAATAATTACAGCATCACT